CCCCGCTGCTGCTGCCGCCATCCGCGGTGCCTGTGTCCCGGCCACGAGGGAGACCTAATAGGGATGCTTCTCTGGGGCAGAGGTCCTGGAGATGCGGCAGAGCCTGGGAGGAAGGCGGCGGAGAGGAAAAGGAGAGGGCGGGGAAGGAGGAGGCGGAGAAGAAGCGGACCGCAGCGGAGAAAGAGGCGGAGGAGGAGGGGGAGGAGGCAGGTTCTCAGGCAGCGGAGGCGGTGGGATAAGCGGCAAAAACCATGTTAACAGTATTTAAAACCTAAGTGTACAAACCACCACTGAAGGTAGGGTTCTCACTAACACCATTGTTTCTCTAACAATCAATCCTGCCGAGCTCATCATTGTCCCATCTTCAACTTCCCAAAACAGTTAGAAATAGATACTTAAATTAACGTGTGTGTGTGTGTGTGTGTGTGTGTGTGTGTGTGTGTGTGTCTGTGTGTGTGTCCTTTATGTGTGCCTTGTCTGTTACATTACGCTAGAAGCCTCATGTAAAGGAAAAGGAGAGGGCGGGGAAGGAGGAGGCGGAGAAGAAGCGGACCGCAGCGGAGAAAGAGGCGGAGGAGGAGGGGGAGGAGGCAGGTTCTCAGGCAGCGGAGGCGGTGGGATAAGCGGCAAAAACCATGTTAACAGTATTTAAAACCTAAGTTTACAAACCACCACTGAAGGTAGGTTTCTCACTAACACCATTGTTTCTCTATCAATCAATCCTGCCGAGCTCATCATTGTCTCATCTTCAACTTCCCAAAACAGTTAGAAATAGATACTTAAATTAACGTGTGTGTGTGTGTGTGTGTGTGTGTGTGTGTGTGTCCTTTATGTGTGCCTTGTCTGTTACATTACGCTAGAAGCCTCATGTAAAATTGTGTATCAATTTCTTTTTAATACTCAAGCTGATCCTGGAAAGTCTTAGCATGTTTTACAAGTAAAATTCCATGTAAAGCAGCCATGTTGGCATCAATCTCAAATGGATATTCGAGTTAGTTTATTTGCAAAGAAACTGTCTTGGGACTACACCACCATCACTTCTCTACCCCCAAGTCTAACTAACCTTCACGTATAAGTTAACTCTTAGCAGTCAGTTGTTTCTTATATGGTCCTTCAACATCAGCTCTTTTTTTTTTTTTCCTCACCAATTCATCTACACACAAGGCAGAACTCCCCCTTTACCTGTGACCTGTAGTTTCCTTCTCACAGTCCAACAGCCAGCAGCAGTTGCAAGACAGGGGAAGTGAGACAGCGGAGCTACACTATTTCTCTCACTGAACCCAGCGCAGCAACTTCTCTGCATCAGCTGACGGCATTAGCTTTCGTTTCCTGGAGAGGCTAAGAGGAATGATTTAGCATTATTTTTGGCCACACCCTCCAGGGAAGGAAACATTGAAGGCAAAGGTCTAATTATTACCTACACACCTACCTCATTACCTCATGGGCTGTTCGCTACTCCAAGGACTTGGTTCAATCATTCCTTTAAACTCACAGTTGCCTACCCCTCCAACCTTCTTTTATTTGCTTTTAAAGTTCTACCAAAATTAGAGTAAGAAAGGAGGATCTCTTGGGGGAAAAAAAAAGTGATCTGCTGACTGGAATGGAATGTCCAGTGGAAGGTAGAGCCCAGCGGTAGAGAGCTTTTGTTCAGCAGCAGTGCTCTGTAGAGAACCAGCACAGTGAATCTCCCTCAGGGCTGTAATGGGGCCGAGAAATAGTACTCCACTGTCATGTGCCTGTTTTCTTCATAGTTCTCATGTTCCAGGCATAAAACATTCTGAAGGTTAGAGAAAATGTGAACGTTAGATGTCATAATCCTAAACAAAATATTTGGGGGGTGGAATTCTAAACAAATCCTAAATAAAATAATAGCTAACCTTATCCAGCAAGATATAAGTTAACCATAGATTTTAAAGCCCCCACAAAATAAGTTTACATCTTTTCTCAACCATTTCCTAACCCTGAAAAGACCTTAAATGTCTCCAATCAGCTTCTTCAGCAATAATAATTAAAAATAATAAAATTTTAAAAATGGAAATAATGCCATTCTCTTTTGGGGCTTACATTAAATAACAGCCTATATATGAGACTGAGACAGTGTTTTGTAATCAAAAGAAGAGATTTGGAGCCAGACAGACCTGGGTTTACACTATGTCCTGTAAGCCGTTTTGAGCCTCAGTTTTCTCTTTTTTAAACAAGAATGATAATTACTTTGAGAGGTTGTTTTGAGAATTAAAAAAATAAAAAATAACAGTGCCTGTGACACTATAAATGAGATTTCTTATTATCACTATCATTATCTATAATAATAAAAGCATAATATGCTAATAAGACCGGATGTCCTTCTGGATGACATTCCAGACAAAGCTGGAGCTGTGAGGGAAGTCTGGGTCCTGGGTGTCTGCCGGTGGCCTGAGGGAAGCCCGGGTCCCGGGTGCCAGAGGGAAGCTGGTGACGGCAGCCGGGGGAAGGAAGGCCTACTCTTGCACGAATTTTGTGCATTGGGCCTCTAGTTTTATTATAAAATCATATTATAAAACATCTAACACTTAATAGATAATAAATACAAGTGTTCAATTATAATGTAAAAATATGTGTAGTCAAAGCTGATTGAATGCTAGCTTCTGTCATGAAAATACAATCAGAATAAGGGGGTTTGATTTTGAGACAGTAGGAGGAGCCCACTGGGAAGCACGCCTTCCTCCATAGAAGCGAAGGGTCCAAGTCCAACCACCATCCTTTCTGAGGACCTCTTTTCATAGGTTGTCTGCCCGTTATCTCTAACGGGCTGACCCTCTTTTTAGTTAGGTTTCAAGCATTTTAGACAATAGCACAGCTTAAGGGCTTTGCTGGTTCTTTCTACAGAAAACATTTGGACTCTGAATATAGGTTTGAATGCATCTCATTATATTCGGGTTTGAGTTCATTGCTGAAGACTCAAAGTTGGAGACTATTGGAAGAGGTGCTTTTATGTTTTCCCTCTCTATGAGCTCATCTCGAAGGAAAGCTGCACAGAGACGGTGATATTTGAGGTGGATTTTAAAGCATGGCTCAGATTATATAGAGCAACTGTGGGGAAATTCAGAGCCACATAATTGGTTTAAAAAGAGGAGGATGCAAACTGTACTTTGGAGGGCACTCTGTGGACTGGTTTAGTTTGGACAGATTATTAAAAATATAACATGTTGACATAAAGTAGGCAATATGGCTTGAAAGACAGGTTGATGCCAGATTATAAAGGTCTTAAGTAATATCCATGGAGTTTGGATTTTATCACTGAGAAAATGTAATGGTTTTGAGTGTATAATATGCCTCTGTAGCTCCAAATATTGAATATTCAATGATGACTGTTGTGTTTCTAATTTTCATCTTTAGCTTGGATATCTCTCCTTAACTCATATTTCATTTTTCAGGCTACCTACTAGCAATGTTAATGAGGCGTTAACAAATCTAAATATGCCCCAAACTAAAATCATTATTTCTACTCCTAAAATGTTTGCCCTGATATATCTTATGTAATTTAATGGCATCCAAGTCCATTCTTCCATTCAAATGAGAGAACTACCTCTTCTCCTACCAGACCCATACTTAATCTGCTATTAGATCTTGTCCATTGCGTCTCCTAAAGACCATTATATTCATCC